CTCTACCCTCCTACGTGGTCTCGTCCTCCACCTACACGTATATATATATATATATATATATATATATATAAAACAAGAGCAGGTTCATGACTAGGTGGCAATCAAAAAATTCCTCTTAGATTTTGAGTTTGATTCGGATGGAGATTAAAAATAATTAAGTTAAAGTTTGGATGGAAAGAATTAGCTTGACATGAAGGAAGCTTTACCTACGTGACAATCAATAAATAGTTGAGAAGTATGTGCGGTTCAAATTTGTGAAATACAACATGGGTTCATTATTACATCTAAGGGTTTTGTTACGCTACACCACTTGTGGTGTAAATCTTTTAAAGTCATCAATATTTTTGACACTAAAATATCATTGACTTGTAATACAAAATTTTTCAAATAGGGGTATTTTTTGTCATTTAAAGGGTAGAATATATATTTTTATAAAAAAATAGTGGCATTCTATTAGTAGTTAAAAACAATTAATACGTGGATGATGTTACACACCACATCGATAATGACATTGTCCACTATGATTAATAAATGTTTTTGTTTCTATTAAGAATTTTTAGTTTACTCTTAACTAATTACTATATAATAAAGGTATCTAAATGTTTAAAAATGTTTAGCATTTCAAGGGTCTACACTACAAGTAGTATAGACTAACAAAGCCCTCTACATCTAATATACAAAGTCCATAAGTGAGCAAACTCAAATAGAACTAACGGTAACAATATAACAAGAAGCTGATCTTATGTGCCCAATGGTGTATGATCTCTCGCCACAAAACTTTTATTAAGAACTCAAAATTTAAATTTTTTTCTTTTTAAAATATACTTTTAGCTCCTCATATATAGCATATATAAAATACTATTAATAAATATTTTGCTTCATGGATCAAATATAGAGTGTATTCTAATTAGTGCACTTTAGACAATATACTTTTACGTCTTCCACATTCCACATGTGGGAGGAGTGGTGTACAACAATAAAAATATTCCCCTTATCTTTAATAATATATAAGTATATAGTATTTTCTTTAATATGGCACTTTATTGATGTTGTCAAATTGATTCATTATTTATTAATTTTTATGTTATAATTAAAATCGTGAAGATAACATGTAATTACAAATTTTATGCAATACTAATCAATTATGCTTTGTATTTTATTCTCACTTTGATAGAACTAGTTGGATTACATGTATTGCACGTAGAACATGATGATTATTAATCATATAAATATACAATATTAATGTGCATCTCTACATTGATCGTTTTTCAAAGAACTCTTACTAATTTAGTGGTTTCTAGGGTTACGACCTATTTCCTATTATTACATAGGCACTACAAATTTTGAATATGAATTTAACACTAATTCAATAAATCATACAACAAATAAGATATGAATGATTTGTAAAGTTATGATCTATTTCCTATTACATAATATCGTTACAAATTTTGAATATGTGCTGAATGTACACGACAATTATGACATGTCTCAAAGCCTAACATATTTTGCCAGGTATTTATATCAATATAAATATAATTATCGGAATAGTAATTTTCCACATTAAGACAATCTTTTAACATTTTTTGACAATAAGGAAAAACAATTATTATCGTAGATAAATATTGCACTACATAATTGTGAACATATGTCATTTGATTTCATGGAAGTGCAACATGATGATGATAATAATAATAATAATAGTATGCATTCATGGGGCCAATTCCATTGATGTCGATAAATATTGCATTACATAAAAATGAACAAATGTTATTTGATTTTATGGAATCACAACTTGCATGATAATAACAAAAAAGGAAAAAAAAAGAAAAAAATAGTGTGCATGCATGGGCCAAATCGATTGATTTTGAGTAGTTTTATGGGTGTAAGCATGGACTATTACGAATTAAGTAATTGGTAAGTGATTTTATCAAAAAATTTATTAAATATAATGGAAAACTATGAAAAAAATAAAAATTTTATGTCATTATTTTATTACAATTATTGTCTCTTACCTTTAGAGATGTAAGAAATGACCGTTTTTGGTTCATGTGATCGAAAAGATACTCAAGGATATTAAACAAATTTTAAAATATAAAAAATCGCACAAACATAAGAAGTCAATTTGTAATATTTTTTTATGTTTTCTATCATTTTGGCAAAGATTAAAAAATATTTTGGCCCAGCACAAGGATATTTAAAAATATAAAAAATCTTAAAAATAAGAAATTTATTTGCAATATGTTTTTTAGTTTTTTATCATTTCGGCAAATATTAAAAAATATTTTGGCCATGAAGACTTATATTTACATTTTTGTAAACAAAGACTCTCACTTGCTTCAATTCATAACTAAAACATCCCTTGAAAAATATAATATAAAATCACACTGAAACTATTGAATGTTCAACATGGAGAACACACTGATAATTAAAAGTTATGGTTTGTATAGATCCAAGACTCTTAACAATCAACGTAAGCTCACCTTCAAATGTGCGAGAAATGTGGTTTCAATATTAGAAATTTTTGTGATAGCCTCAAAATATTTTTTCTATTTTTAATTATAAAACTCAAAGTTTCAAAAGTAGTGTAGATTGAGCCGATATATGAAAATTTGAAAATCTTGAAAATTGATGGTCCAAAAATGCGTTACAAGATGTACTATTTTCAAAAACTTGAAATCCATTTTTTTCTCATGTCTGTACATCTTGATGTCAAGAAGATCAAATTGAGGATATTTGAGCATCAAAGCAACCTTTTCTAATGAATTTTTTGAGGTGGGCTCTAATTTGATTGTTTAGAGCCTCAGCTCTATATAAACTTTTTCCATAAGTAAATTACCAAATACGAAGAAAAAAGCAAAAGAATCTTACCTGATTGAGAGTAAGGAATACATATGCAGCAAAAAGAAAGAGAAAGGTAACAAATGATTCGTAGAAGAATAGTTTATATAAGCAAATGGCTTGGGCATGTCCATCATTAGGGTTTTTTAATTTTTATAACATCAAAACCCTAACTAATGAGAGAGAGATAGAGAGTGGTGCTTGTGCATGCATTGAAATAGATTATCCTATTCTTGGATGGGCAATCCCCTTGGATACGGAAACAAGGATAAATATGTAATGCATATCTTTCTCTCTTGAATTTGAATTGGGAAAAGGTACCCATTTTAGAAAGTGTGAACCAAAAAATAGAGAAAAAAAAGATCTTCTATTTCTCAAATTAAATATGGACTCTCTCTTCCTCTTCCTAAATCTCTACTTTAATATCTCTTATTTTTCAAATTAAAATATGAAATAATCTCTCTCACTTCTTAAAACCTCTACTTTTTGTGTCTCTCTCATACTTAGCAAGTCGGGGATTATCAATAAATCGTCTCACTATGAAATCGGAAACTAATCGTTTTTATTTTAAAAATTAGGATAAAAAAATCGGGTAAAAGTTATGGATCGACAAAAATACTTCATGTGAAGAGAATGCAAATATATCAAACTAGGCTAAAAAAAT